ACCAATACCCATTACTAATGCACCAAATCATCAGAAATTCGAAGTTAAACGAGTTTGGACTTGAGTAGTACTAAAATAAATGACCTATTGAGAAAAGCTAGTATTAGTATTAGGGGGGAAAAAGGTTGCAGCCATAGCCTAAAATACTTGGAAGGTAGAGAAACTCTTGTTGGCTTTTGGGATGATGAAATTGTCTATCTATCTTTCTATATAGGTCCTTTCAAGAATTTGAGTATTAATCTATAGATTTCAAATAATCAAAGATTCTAATTTTTTTGGAATGTTTGAAAAAAATTAAAATTATTTATTGTTCGGCAACTGCAATTGTTAAATTTCAATTAGATATCGAAATACCATATTTTCAATCCCTAATTTGAGAAGAAATACTGAACTCAGTTAGTAACTCTGAGTTGGGTTATGAAGGACGAGATTCGGGTCACACTCGAGTCTTGATATTTAATTATTATTATTATATGTTTGAGTTATTTTCAAAAGTACAATTTGGTATTTGGATTTATGAAAGAACAATATTAGAATCTCGAATTCTCCACCCTATCTTTTTTGCTCTCACTTTTTCTGCCATTCTTTCCTGTAGACCTCTCTTTAAGCAGCAATCCAATTGAGTGAAACACAAGGAAACATATTGCATTCTTTCGTTACTTTTGCGTAGACGGTAGTGAAGTGGCCAGAGGCCTATTAGTTAGGATTCCGCTGTGAATGAGTCTCCTCTCTGGTAATGGAGTTGGACGGAAACTAACGGGAGAGTGATTAAATGTGACATGTTTCAGTAATTCGAGTGATTAAATGTGACATGTTTAGTAATTTGAGTGACCGGAGTTGGACAGAGGCTAATAGGAGAGTGACTAAATATGGCATGTTTCGGTAGTTCGAGTGACCAAAATTGATATTAAAATTTCTAGTGACTAAAAATGAACGATTTAGTAATATCAGTTACCAAACATGGCATTTAACCTTAAGTCTAGGGATGCGTGTGTCATTTGGTATTTACTCACATGAGTATCACAGTAGCGAATTGGAATCTGCACAACTTATGTAGAAGGAAATTCCTACGTGGCCTTTTGATGTCTTCTTATGGGGCAAAGTACTGTAAGACTCTGATTGCTTGGGGGTTGGTTGGTGGGAATAACTGCAAGTTCAACAATTTTTAGTGGGAGCAATGAATTCGTTTGGTATCCATTGGCTTTTTGAGATAGTGATTATGCTGTCAAATTGGGCAAGAAAGGGGATTCTGCCTTTTCTGAATTAATAGCTACTGCCTTTATGAAATAATGACTACGGTACACACGGTCTTGGTTCATATGGAGACCAGACTTTTGACATTTATTTCCAAGCAACCAACCCTTTGCCTGCCGGCTTCCATTCTTTATCACCTTGTTTCTTTGGTTGTTCAATACTCATCTCAAGCAAAAGTTGCCACTTGCCCTAGCCCAAAATATCTGCCAAACCCCTAATCCACAGGCACCAATAGTTACCGCAGAGTGTAAGAGTTTCCATCACAAGTCACATCAAACTACCAGTTATGGAGCCACTCAAATCATCAACCAACTTCTAGACGAGAGTACTTCAATTCAAGATGATACTCAAACACGGTTTTTGGAGATTCGAAGCAGAATGTAAGAGGGCTATCCTCCGCTCGTTGGGTTCCACGAGGATAGGTTTGGTTTTCGCTGGCAATGATGTCGAGACTCGATCAATCATGTTCTCCGAAGTCTCAAACTATACGAACTTCTCTCAATCACTGATGAGACAGGTGGTGCCAACATATCACCATCCAGTATTTTCGCTACTCTGGCCAGTAAAATTCAGAAGAGATGGTGAGAAGGGCATAGCGAGCCATTTGCTGAAGAAGAATCTGCTATAATTAAACATGAAACTGCGTTTATAGACATAATTTTACTAGGTTCTCTCGGATGCAGAACTCGTGGTGATCATTCCCAAGAGGAGTACAGGCTCGATGTGGATACTAATTACTATTAGTTGAGTTTGCACAAGGATGCTTGATTCAAAGATCCTGTTTAATCTAATCTTTTGTTTTCCATTTTCACATGTGAAAATATTGATTGAAAACATGTTTAGTTCTGTTTTTATTTGTTGTTGTGGCAACACAATAGAAATATGAAAACATTGAAACAACTTTGGCGGGTCATTTGTTCGAGGGTTTTGATGATGAATTTGATTATGAAAATCAATTTATCATGGACTTGAACGAAAATTCATTGTTTGCTTTAGGGAATTAGGAAGATGAAATCTGCACGGACTTGAAAGTTCAATATCTTGAGGTGGAATTTGGGTGATGGATTAAAAATTTAAAATCCACCATGATAGTTTACCCTTCTACTCTTGCTTATTTTTTTAATTACAAATTTGTCTTCCTATTTATTTCAATGGGTTTGCAACTATAAATGTTTATAATGTCCTATTTTATTTAAATATGAGAACTTATCATTTCATTTGTAATGTCGAATTTTATTTAAATAAGAATGTGTATGCGATTTGTTGGATTCAACTCTAAAACCTTATGCTCATGTTGTGCATTATTATTTGATTGACTGTCTGATTCCAAAATCGGGGAGTTAGCAAGACAATGATGAGTTGTAGCAATAAGCCAAACAACTGGTTGCAATTGATACATAATATTGTATGCATTATTAGACGAATCATTGAATTGTTAAGTAGTGCTAAATTTTGATACATTTCTATACTTATAGTTGAATTATTAGTTCATAGAGTAATGGTAAAGATTAAAAATTTTAATGAAACATTTGGATTATAATATAGAAATATAATTAGATAAGGATAACAAGGTAATTTGTATTTCATATCCACAAATCTAATCAAACAAAATTCATAATGCCACCAAATCCATCATATATCCACGGTTTTCCAAAACTCAGATTTTACTAAAACCCTCATATTTCATATTCATAAAGCAAACGACCTGTAAATAAATTTATTGTTATATCTAAAAGTTGTTTCTTGTGAGGTCATAAATTAGTTGTTGTAATAATTGCATTCTAAAGAGTCTATGACCAAATTTTACCAGATTTACTTCAACATATTTCTCACCCTTCATTTTGTCATAGCTCATACCCGAAATCTTATTATTAATATTATTTTCATATATTTTTCAATCTTATTATTAATATTATTTTCATATATTTTTCTCTCAATTTTCTCATGACTCGTCATTTTCTCATAACTCATCATGTCACATTATGTCTCGCATAATTTTTTTACTTACATCTAAACCTTAACATTGATATTATACTAAAGTCTAAACAGAACCTAATATATTAACTAAACACAGAAAAAGGATTCAACTTTCATGACTTCTCAAGATTATCAGTGCTATGGTTGTAAATCTAGTGTTACAACAATACTGCTACCACAAGATGAATGAAACGGTACTAAACGGTCCAAAGCGACCCGAATCCATATCGAGTTTTGGCGTCTGTCACAGTTAAAGTTGGGCTGGGGCCATTGATTATTTTTATATCAGAAGCTGACCCATCTTTGATCTTTCTATTGGCCGTTCGAACATGAAAAGATGATTCACAAAACCTAACAGAAAATCCCCCCTACTATCTACCAGTATCAGTTTTTAACGCTACAAAATACAACGATACTAGTAGAATAACCCGACATTGCTGGCTACTGCTGCTACTTGAAGTCTTGGTCGTTGGAGAGGCTTCTTCCTTTTCTCGTCTTGTCAGTATGTTTGCATGGCATCTTGAAAATCACTGCAGCAGCAGGAAATTCTCAGCTGATACAACAGTTAACTCGCACATAAGCACTTCGAAGGGCAAGAAGTCGGCTTCTGTGGGCCTACTGTCCCTCTAATGTTCCGACTGCCTCCTTGAGAAGTTTCTGTGCCTCTTCTCTCCCCCTGCGCGGGTGAAGTCAAGCAATTAAGGCTAAGTAGCTCAAACAGAATATGGCCTTTGCAATCTGTTGACAACAAGATAGCCTTAGAGAAAAAGAGGTTGTTTGTACTATCCTATGTGGCAGCTACATGGATCATCAGGATTGAACCAAAAGCTTCGAGGTCAATAGGATCATAATGAAGTGGCAAGTGAGGAATCCAAGTTCAAGTTAAATTGGTGACCTTAATGCCGGACCTAAGCATCATCAGCAATCACTGGCAAACATCACGAACGGCTCTCAATAGAAGCAGTAGGGATTGTGGATGCGGAAGTTCAAGTATAAAACACTTGCAAAAGGTAAGTAGAATGCAATATAAACTTGTTGCATCTACCATGGAAGTTGGAATAAATCCAGGTAAGTTTTAACAGTCCAATCGAGGAACAAATTTCAGGATAATCAAGATATCGTCAGCAAAACTAACACTCCTAACAGGTTGACTCTAGAGTGCAGACAAACTGAACAGCTAAAGTAACAGTTGAAAAGTTGAGTTGAGTTATTTTAAAAACCTTCAGAGACAGTAGCACTTTACATACATACCTCTTAATATCCTCCACTGCCTATTTACGCCGTTGAATCTGAAGCTCTAGAATGTGAATTAAGGTGGCTCTTTTGAAAGTGCTATGGTAGGATACAACTTGGGAACCAAATGCTTAGGAATTCCTCTGCCAGCATATAGTAAGCATAGAGGCCTCCCTAAACCGTCCAAAATTATCCTAAAACCATTTCTTTACGCCACCCGAAAGCCCTAGGTCTACCTAAATAGGGTAAGGATGTAATGATATGTGTTTTCTTATCTAAATGTATGTTTGCTTACGATGTTATTATATGTGTTTTATCTTTCACTCATCAAACAGTGTGGTTGTATGAATGAAAAACGTTCTCAAAATTCCTAAACATCATTTTCTCATTAGATTTTCATCTACTCAATCAGTAGTAATCATAAGAAGATTAAAGACACATGCATGAGATGAAAAATGAATTTGCATTCATACATCGTTGCATTTTTGCATAAGCATCATGCATAAATATAAAGAACAAAATTAATTTAACAATGTTGAGACAAAACCAGGTTTCCTTAAAATTGCTCGTCCACAAGGAAAAAGTCAAGACTTCAAGTACTTAACTAGATCCAAGTTCGAGTTTGTCATGGAAGCATTCCAGAAGAAGTTAAGTGACATTGAAGGAAAGATAACCGGATTCGATGAAAAGCTAGCCGGGTTCGATGAAATGAAGGATCAGCTGAACATGATAGTAAAGATCTTATCAGCTAAAGGGAAGGAGGTAGTACCTGACGATGAAGAAATACACTCTGATGAAGAAGATCGTGATAGGCACCTGAAGGGTGAAGCTTCCAGTGCCAAGATCCTCTTCATACCCTCAAAAGACGTACATGACAAGAAGAACGTGGGATCTCCAAAATATGATGAAAAGGAAGGCAAATTGGAAGGAGCCATGGACGACATGCAATTAAAAGAGAAATGGGAATATCTGGACGAAAGGGTGAGAGCCATTGAAGGGGTAGAATCCTATGGTTCTACTGATGCCACACAATTATGTCTAGTGCCAGACGTGATAATTCCCCATAAATTTAAAATGCCTGAGTTTGAGAAGTATGATGGTACCACGTGCCCTAGAAACCATCTGATCACGTATTGCAACAAAATGGCTACCCACGTTCGAGATGACAAGCTCATGATACATTGTTTTCAAAATAGTTTGAGTGGGCTAGCTGCAAGGTGGTACATGCAACTTGAAAGATCGAAGGTGAAAAGGTGGCAGGATCTTGCCGATGCATTCATGAAACACTACAAGCACAATCAAGATTTAGCCCCGGATAGAGAATATTTACTCGCCATGGAAAAACAAGAGAAGGAATCCTTTTGTGAGTATGCACAAAGGTGGCGAGGAAAGAGATCTGAGGAGGCGCTGGTGGCTTGACCTCGCCGGCGAGGAACTCTAGGTAAACCTTTTTTGTTTATTCTGGTCTATTGGTCTATTTTTGTTTGGTTCTGATTTCTATTATTTTGGTATTTTTGTGGAGGTGGACAAAGAAAGAATCGGCCGCCACCAGTCCGAGCTTCACCGGCGACCAGAACTGACAGGGGAGTTTTTTTCTTTTTATTTCTTGTTCTTGATCTAAGTCTGATTTTTGGTTGGTTCTGACTTCTATTCGTTTTGGTGCAGGGAGTGGAAATTTTTTTGGGTAAGGATGTTCTAGACTTTCCCTTGGGTAAATTGCAAGTTTGGTCACTGAATTTACTAAAAAGAGTTATATTTGGCCACTGGAAATAATTAATTCCATTAGTGGTCATCAAAATTAGTTCAATAGTTCAAATTTGGTCAGTCTCCGTCCAATTCCGTTATCTTTATCCTATGTGGCGGTCAACTCTAAGAATTGACCGTTAAATAAGTGACGTGGCAGTTAGAAAATAATAAAAATTAATCTTTTTCAATTTCCACCTCATTTTAAACAAAAAAATAAAAAATAAAAAAAATAAAACACAATTACTAAAATTGAAATTAATTCCTCCCTCGCCACAGCCCTTTCACCTCCTCCACGCCACTTCCCTTTCGCCAGTAATTCTCTCCTCCAACCTCTTTCCCTCATCAATCTCTCACTAAAGTACCCATCTTTTTACAACTTCTACTAGAACTTTGTTTCCTGGACACTAACAGAAATGGTTTCCTGGGAATAACTTCCAATCCATATCTGTCTCTCTCTCCTCTCTCAGTTTCATTCTGGAATCAAAGAGAACACTGGGGAAGAAGAAGAACGGGGAACTGTGGGATTTTTTGGGAGCTGAGGGGTCGGGGGAGGAGGAAAGTCTTTTTTCTCTGGTCCGTGTCTTTTTGGTTGTTTAAGGGTTTTTTTCCTTGTTGTAAAAACCGGATCGGACCGGTGAACCGGACCAGGAGAACCGCCAACCGATGACAGTAGCGGTCCGGTCTCTATAATAAAGCGTCCATTGATGGGCTGAACGTTTTTTACCGATCTCCCAAGGAAACCGCAAAGCCGGAACGACCTGATTTGTCCAACGGTCTGCTTTTGATGACATTAAAATGTGAAGAAGAAAAAAAAAAGAATAAAGGGAATCGTATTACTTCATCTATGCTTTGGTCTTTGTTTCCTTTCTATTGTGTTATACAATTATATCTATTGTTCTTGTTGCTTTTCTTTTATTCTTTAAAACATGGCCATGCGAGTAATATGATTGATTCAAAGAAAAATTTATATAATAATTCCTTTCAAAACCATAAGAACAGGATTAGGATTTAGGATGACTTTATTTTGATATAATTTTCGTTGGATTGTTTGTGAGAAATTTTTATTATTTGTCAAAATTTTTGGTGATGTATAGTAAGGATTTTGATTGTTTATGGTTGATGGAATTTCAGTTATAAATTAGTCTCTATTCCATGCCTTTTCTATTTTATAAGTGTGAGCGGTTCTATAAACGGTTCACTAAAGGTTTTATAACGGTTAATCATTGAACCATGAACCACTACCATTTCCGGTTCAGCTTCCGGTCCGGTTCCGAGAACATTGGTTTTTTTTCATTTTTGGTAATTATAATTATTAACTCTGTTTTATTTATTTTTAATATATTGTTAAAATGAGGTGGGATTGAAAAGCATTAAATTGTATTATTTTTATTATTTTTTAATTGCCACGTCACTCTTTTAACGGTCAACTATGAGAGTTGACCGCCACATAGGATGAATATAACAGAATTGGACGGAGAGTGACCAAATTTGAGCTGTTGAACTAATTTTAGTGACCACGAATAGAATTGATTATTTTCAGTGACCAAACATGACACATTTTAGTAAATTTAGTGACCAAACTTGTAATTTACCCCTTTCCCTTAGTATGGTTAGGGATTTCGAACTAGGAGATAAAAAAAGCTAATATTTATTTATGGATTTGAAAATGATATACTACTCTTGAATTTTGGGATTAAAAATCTGAATTCGAATTGAATGAAATCTAGTGGATTCGGTTATAGCTCTTGAAGATATGCTGGAAATCGGTAAAAGGGAATTTTAAAAGTAATTAACATGCTCAAAGATTGCTAATTTTGACAATTATATATTATGGCTACTGCTTGTGATTTACTAAGCTATGAAAATGAAGTTTTCAGTATGGGTATTATCATGGCTCGATTGAGATTATGGTGATTTTTGTGGGTTTAACTTTTTGAAATTTCTGATGTATGCATTGCGGATTAAGATCTAAAATATTTGTATATTTAGATTGTTAGAGGCCTTTCTTGACACTAGGGGAAAGGGAAAATCAAATGAACTATTGATCTATGTTTGGAAAAATAAAAGAAAAGCAATTCACAGTTGCTCTATTAGATGGAAAACGAGTAAGCTAGTAAGGAGTAAGCTAGTAAGAAGGAAAGTGTAATCTAAACTGGAATGATTGATAATGATACATAACAAGTGCTTGAATATAAATGAATTATGTAAGGATCAGTAGTATACATAAACAAGCGATACCATGATAGAAAACTAAAAGGATTGTTATTGAAGAAGGATGAACCTGGTTTACAGATTACAAGCTTGGTCTTGAGATCCTTGCCTTGTACCTTATCTCCACTCTTGTACTACAAGAACAAGGATTCAATCCCAAAAAAAAAAGACTAGAAAGAGCTCTCTTTCGTGTTTTTACTCCACTCTTTTTCCCAGAACCTTCCCCTCTCAACATAGAGCCCAATGAGCTCATTTAATAGCAAAAGTATACGCCACGTGTCACATGATTATTTGCCGTTGCTGAAGCTGAAACTAGCGTGCTTCCTTCTGATTGGTCGAATTTTAAGGCTGAATCTTAACCCTCCACCTGCAAAGTCGGTTGCTGAGTGGATGTGTTGGAGAGCTCCACCTTGCTTGGTCGGCTCTGACTAGTCAGGGTGTGGATAGGGTTGGCATATGATGTCGGGCCGAGCTGCCCGAAATGGGCCTAGAGTTGTTTGCGATATGGTCTTCGTCTGGGCTCGAAATGGGCTTCGTCCAGTCTTGCACTTGGGCCAAACTGGGCCCTGATTCTTGGGACTAATTTATGGGCTTGAACTTGTTGACTTTGAATTCTAGCTTGGGCCTGTCTTGACTGATTTTCTCTGATTTTGCAGGCTGCTTTTGCTGGTCTGGGCTCCCCGGTTATGGGCCATACTTGGATTCTTGATACGAGAATAGGAGTAGATTGTTTCCTTTCAACTTGTATCTTGTATTTGAGGATGATAGTTGTACAAATTGAAATTTCTTGTAGTAATGTTTGATAGTTGTGGCGATTTTTTTATTTTTCTTTGTAGCGATATTCTTCTAGCCTTTACCATCGTGCTTTGAATAATTCTTTAATACGAATTCCTAACCATGACCCATATCGCTCCTTGATTTGTTTTCATTAACCAAGTTTACTGTGCCACACTTCTCGATTGAAGGTGCAGTTTGATGTTTCTATGATAGATATTAGACCGGACAAAATGTGGTGTCTACAGGATTGACCCTTCGTATCCCCTTGAATATCGCTACTCCTCTTCCTTATAAGTCAAACCGAACCTCCTTGTTAAAGCAGTCCACCAACGCTCTGTGCTTGGATAACCAGTCCATCCCTAGGATGGTGTCAAATTCACCAAAGGGAAGCAACATGAGATTTTCCTTAAGCTCATACCCGGCAACCCTGACTATGCACTCCCTAACTATGGAGTCCACAATTAAAGTATCACCGATGGGGGTACGTACCCTTAGATTCTGACTAAGGCTCGTAGGGACTATGCCTAAGGTTCTAGCAAATGCAGTAGATATAAAGGAATGCGTAGAACCAGAATCAATCAAAGCAAAAGCAAGACAATCATGAATGTAAATCGTACCAGTCACAACCTCTGGGGCTGTGACTAAGACTGAGTGAAGGAACCAGAACCTCTCTTAGTAGGATGAATCGATTGTGTGTGGACTCCAGAGTAGGTGGACTCTTTCCTTTTCCTGGTATCCAGTCTTCTAGCTCTCTCTTGTTGGGCTGTCTTCTCATCCCTCTCAATGCGGAGGGCATCTCGATAAGTTGTGGCTTGAGATGTCCTCTCTGCTTCTCCCATTCATTTCTCCAGATCCGCCCTCAAACTGTGGACATAGCAATCACGCACCCCTTCTGGAGTCCGATACACAGGATCAACATATTTGTTCAATTTCTTGAACAGCTTCGTGTATTTCTTGAAATTCAGTGCAATCAAAAAATAAAATGACATATGAGTGATAGATGATCAGAGTATGACTCTAATCCCATCAAGGAATTCTATAGCTCACATGGTATCATCGTGAAACCACGACACCATATTCACCATAAATGAATGGTAAAGTTGAGCGGAAAATAGGACATTTACATAATTAGTTGTGGCTATTATGCTCAATTCTGGAGCTGCTTCTTCTTGGTGGGGTGATATTTTGTTATCTGTTTGCTATGTGCTAAATCTTCTTCCAAAAACAAATAAAAATGAGTCACCCTATGAGATCTTGAAGAATAAGCCACCTAATATGTCCTATTTAAGAACGTGGGGCTGTTTGGCCTAAGTAAGAATTCCGGATCCTAAGAGGATTAAGTTGGCTAGTCGAGCATATGAATGTGTCTTTGCTGGCTATGCGATCAATAGTAAGGCATATAGATTCTATGATTTGAATGCTCGTACTATAATAGAATCCATTGATGCTGATTTCTTTGAGACACGATTTCCATTTGAAACGAGAAATAGTGTGGGTAATGTACTACCCGCTATTAGAGATAACAGAACTAGTGGGTGGTGTTGGATCTGAGGATGAGATCAGAAGAAGTAAAAGAGCTAGAATCTCCAAAGATTTTGGTGATGACTTTACTACAGTATACACCCTCGAAGATCCCAAAAGTTTGCAGGAAGCATTAACTTCCATAGATGCAGACTTTTGGAATGAGGCCATTATAGATGAAATGGAATCGCTGGAAGCTAAGAAAAGCTGGTATTTAACAGACTTACCTCCTGACTGCAAAGTCTTAGGAAATAAATGGGTTCTAAAAACGAAACGGAAACCTGATGGTGCAAA